AACTCCGTCTCAAAAAAAAAAAAAAACAAATGTGATGATGTGAAGAAATATATTGCTGGTGGTTCATGTAAATCTAATAACTGTAAAATAGTACAGCCCCTTAGGAAAACATTTTGGCAGAAAATTAAACATATAGTTATAATATGACCAAGTAATTGCACTCATAGGTGTTCAAGAGAAACGAAAACGAATACCCACGCAAAAATTTGTACACAAATGTTCATAGCAGCTTTGTTCACAATAGTCAAAGATAGAAACAATGCAAATGTCCATCAACTGATGACTGGATAGAGAAAAATGTAGCATACTGATGCAATGGAAGATCATTCAGCTATGAAAACTATTACATATGCCACAACATGAATCAACTTTGGCGACATTATTTACATTAAATGTTCAGGATAGGCAAATGCATAGGCACAGTAAGTAGATTAGTGGTTGCCTGATGCTGGGAGTAGTAATGAAGACTGACTGCAAATGGGCAAGGAAGATGTCACTGACATGATGAAAATGTTCTAAAATTAGATTATAGTGATGGTTGTACCACCCAATAAATTTATTTATTTATTTTTTGAGACGGAGTTTCGCTCTTGTTACCCAGGCTGGAGTGCAATGGCGTGATCTCCGCTCACCGCAACCTCCGCCTCCTGGGTTCAGGCAATTCTCCCGCCTCAGCCTCCCTAGTAGCTGGGATTACAGGCACGCGCCACCATGTCCAGCTAACTTTTTGTATTTTTAGTAAAGACGGGGTTTCACCATGTTGACCAGGATGGTCTCGATCTGGTGACCTCATGATCCACCCGCCTCGGCTTCCCAAAGTACTGGGATTACAGGCTTGAGCCACTGCGCCTGGCCGACTGCTCAATAAATTTATACAATCACTTTAAATATGTGAATTTTAGGGCATGTAAATTATCTAAATATGTTTTTAAAACACATTGAGCATCAAGCAAGAAAAAAAGAGAACGTTCACCCCTTTGACAATTTCTTAGGGATTATACAGAGGTCATTAGGCTGTTTGTTGTTTTTGCTGTGGTGGTGGTGGTGGTGATGGTAAGGGTTGTGGTTTTCCCATCAGAGCCAAGGGTCAAGCAACCATTTGGTCATTTAAAATCATTCTCAGAAAACTGACACAGAACAGAAAATGAAATACCGCATAGGTGGGTGATGAACAATGAGAACACATGGACACAGGGAAGGGAGTACTACACACTGGGGTCTATTGGGGGGAATAGGGGAGGGAGGCAGCAAAACACACTGCCACGTGTGTACCTATGCAACTATCTTGCATGTTCTGCACATGTACCCCAAACCTAAATGCAATAAAATAAATAAATAAAAATGTTTAAGTCAATTTAAAAAGAATATTGCTGGCTTGAAATTTGGAGTAGTAATAGGGGCAAAGAAAAGTGGATGGATTTTTTTCAATATTCAAGATGTACAAATGACAAAATTTTGTAGTGGTTAGATACATAGCGAAAGGGGAAAGGTGAGGAGGCCTCAGACTGAGTGTGGTTAAAGTTGAATTCCTGTTGTCCTCCCAAACTGGCTGTCCTCTGACGCTGCCAATCTCAGTGAAGGGATCAGCATCCTGACACAGAGTTGGCATTCATTGATTCCCTTTGGAGTGAATGAATAGAGCATGATAATAGAGTAAAAATATGGCTAAACAAGGCAGACACGAGGTACTGCCAAATAGCCAGTCCTAAACTCACCCTTAAGGTTGGCTCAGCAGATGTCCAGCACATTTTTCTTCTCACTTTTCAAACTATTTTGGAAATCATTAAGTCTCCCTCAGCCAGAAGAACACTCACCTTCCTATCAGCCATTCCTTCCCTATAACCTATAGGTGCTGAGCAGGTTGGGTTTTTTTCCAAGAGCCTCTTATCCCGTAATTTTTTTTTTTTTTTTTGAGACGGAGTTTCACTCTTGTACCCAGGCTGGAGTGCAATGGCGCCATCTTGGCTCACCGCAACCTCTGCCTCCTGGGTTCAGGCAATTCTCCTGCCTCAGCCTCCTGAGTAGCTGGTATTACAGGCACGCGCCACCATGTCCGGCTAATTTTTTGTATTTTTAGTAGAGACGGGGTTTCACCATGTTGACCAGGATGGTCTCGATCTCTTGACCTCGTGATCCACCCGCCTCGGCCTCCCAAAGTGCTGGGATTACAGGCGTGAGCCACCGCACCGGCCTCTTCTCACTTTTCAAATGATTTTGGAAATCATTAACTCTCCCTCATCCAGAAGAACACTCAACTTCCTATCAGCCATTTCTTCCCTATAACCTATAGGTACCAAGCAGGCTGGGTTTTTTTCCAAGAGCCTCTTATCCTGTAAATTTTTACACATGGCAATGGCAGGTGTATGTACAGCCCATAGGAGCATGGGAGATGCTTCATGTTATAGAAAGGGGATTACAGTGGTGCCCAGTTGATGGATCTATGTTCAGTTGGCTCCAAGCAGGAAGAGACTCTTCCCACCAAATAGTTTTATTAACCTGGGGGTCCCCCTCCTAGCCCCTGGAGGGAGAAAACACAGCCGTCAGAAACATTGTAAACACGGAGTGATCTGCTTGGGTGGTTTCACTGTAGTTCCCAGGGTTGACAAGCAGAAATACAGAACTAATCTTGGTTCATGATACAGACATCAAAAACAAGGAAGTGATCTGTTCCAGTACAAGCTTCCAGAAATAAAAACTAGGTGGGGGGTCGGGTGCGGTGGCTCACGCCTGTAATCCCAGCACTTTGGGAGGCCGAGGCGGTTGGATCACGAGGTCAAGAGATCGAGACCATCCTGGCCAACATGGTGAAACCCCGTCTCTACTAAAGATAGAAAAAATTAGCTGGGCACAGTGGCGCGTGCCTGTAATCCCAGCTACTCCGGAGGCTGAGGCAGGAGAATTGCCTGAACCCAGGAGGCGGAGGTTGCGGTGAGCTGAGATCGCGCCAGTGCACTCCAGCCTGGGTAACAAGAGTGAAACTCCATCTCAAAAAAAACAAAAAAACTAGGTGGGGCACACTAAAGAAGCTCCCAGACTCAACCGCCCAGTGAACATTCGCTTCATCATACTGGTTATGAGATAAAGTATAAGTTTTTTAAACCTTATGATAAATAACCATACTTATGTCTTCTGCTGTTGTGAAAATTATAGTATTTTACATAATATATGATCACCGTTATCATTATCACCAGTTCCTTAATAAGAAGAAACCGGAAGGTGATACCAAAATGTTCATCCATAATGTTTACATTTGTCTTCATAGTTAATGTAAAATAAACTGTATGTAATTTTTACTACAGTGTGTCCTGAAAGGGCAAACCAAGCTACAAGGAACTCTAAAGACTACTATATGAGAGTAAATTATGAAAGAGTTTCTTTCTTTTTTTTTGAGACGAAGTTTCGCTCTTGTTACCCAGGCTGGAGTGCAATGGCGCAATCTCGGCTCACCGCAACCTCCGCCTCCTGGGTTCAGGCAATTCTCCTGCCTCAGCCTCCTGATTAGCTGGGATTACAGGCACATGCCACCGTGCCCAGCTAATTTTTTGTATATTTAGTAGAGACGGGGTTTCACCATGTTGACCAGGATGGTTTCGATCTCTTGACCTCGTGATCCACCCACCTCGGCGTCCCAAAGTGCTGGGATTACGTGTTTCTTAAATATGAGAGGTCAAGTTTTTCTTTCAGCGACTGAGTTAAAGCACCCAACTCACTTATCATGAGACTTTTGTTAGGCAGTGTACTATGTCCAGTCAACGCAACATCATTTTAGGCAATCATCTGGTTAAATGTTTCCTTAAGTAAGGCATTCACAGATGCACTTCAGAGTTGACATTCAATTAATAGGTTGAATGTCCTTTCCAGGGCAGTCAGGAGTATTTAAAGGCATGAGGCCAGGCGCGGTGGCTCACGCCTGTAATCCCAGCTACTCGGGAGGCTGAGGCAGGAGAATTGCTTGATCCCAGGAGGCGGAGGTTACGGTGAGCCGAGATCGCGCCATTGCACTCCAGCCTGGGTAACAAGAGCGAAACTCCGTCTCAAAATAAAATAAAATAAAATAAAATAAAATAAAATAAAAAAATAAAGGCTTGAGAACACATGGACATAGGGAAGGGAGAACTATACACTGGGATCTACTGGGGGGAATAGGAGAGGGACAGCGCGGGGGGGGGGAGCTGGGGAGGGATAGCCTGGGGAGAAATGCGAAATGTGGGTGAAGGGGAGGAAGGCAGCAAAACACACTGCCAAGTGTGTACCTATGCAACTATCTTGCATGTTCTGCACATGTACCCCAACACCTAAAATGCAATACACAGTGGGGTCTATTGGGGGGAATAGGGGAGGGACAGCACGGGTGGGGGGAGCTGGGGAGGGATAGCATGCGGAGAAATGCCAAATGTGGGCGAAGGGGAGGAAGGCAGCAAAAAACACACTGCCACGTGTGTACCTATGCAACTATCTTGCATGTTCTGCACATGTACCCCAAAACCTAAAATGCAATAAAATAAATAATAAAAATAAATAAATAAAAGAAAGAAAGTGCTGCAAGATCCTGCAGACAGCTAAGTCGCACCTTCCACTCTACGGCCGAACAGAGTGAGGCAGGGAGAAGAGGGTTAGGGACTCGCTGAAAGGTAAACACCAAGTCCTTGACAGATCCCCGGGCTGTTAAGTTCGACCGAGATTGAAACAATGTACACTGGGCGTCAGTCACAACGCGAGCGAGCTCCGGCTCTTCCAGCTCTTCCCGAGCGCTAGGCCCATCCGGCCTCACGCTGACCTCCGGGCAAGACTCTCGCACGAGCGGCACGGATCGTGACGACAGCCCCGCGGCAAAGCGGGAGCGGCCTTGTCCTCCGCCGGGGTGAAGGTGAGTAACCACCGCCTTTGGGCCCAGCGGCCCGGGTGGGAGCCTCCGCCGCCCACTGCCACAGGCCTGGGCAAACCCAGCCGTGGCACCCATCCGGGACGCCCCCTTCCCTGACCCACGGGACGGAACCCACCTGTGCTGGAGGTCGTCACTGCTCACTCCGCAGAGAGGGCGGAATTCCAAGCAAGGAGAGCCTTGGGAAGCAGCCTTTCGCCCGCTTTTTGCTTCCCCCCCAACCCCACAAAACCGTCGGCCCCACGCTCCCCTCCCCCAGCCGCCTACTCCGGCCCAGCAGAGAACCTCTAGGCCCCGCCCCACTCCTTCCGGCCGTGCGGGGTGGTTGCCTCTGGCGTCCGGGAGGGACTTCACCCGGTGTTAAGGCGTGAGTCCCCCATACAGAAGGATTGGGCCGGGGCATCTACAATCACATTATTTATTTAATTTTTTTTTTTTTTTTTTGAGATGGAGTTTCGCTCTTGTTACCCAGGCTGGAGTGCAATGGCGCGATCTCGGCTCACCACAACCTCCGCCTCCTGGGTTCAGGCAATTCTCCTGCCTCAGCCTCCCGAGTAGCTGGGATTACAGGCGCGCGCCACTATACCCGGCTAATTTTTTGTATTTTTAGTAGAGACGAGGTTTTCACCGTGTTGACCAGGATGGTCTCCATCTCTTGACCTCATGATCCACCTGCCTCGGCCTCCCAAAGTGCTCGGATTACAGCACATTTATTTTTTATTTATTTATTTTTTCCATTCCTGTGTAACTCTTTAGTGTTTTTTTTTAATAGCATTTTAGGTTTTGGGGTACATTTACAGACCATGCAAGATAGTTGCATAGGTACACACGTGGCAGTGTGTTTTACTGCCTTCCTCCCCTTCACCCACATTTGGCATTTCTCTCCAGGCTATCCCTCCCCAGCTTACCCCCCACACTGTCCCTCCCCTATTCCCCCAATAGACCCCAGTGTGTATTGCATTTTAGGTTTTGGGGTACATGTGCAGAACATGCAAGATATTTGTATGGGTACACGCGTGACAGTGTGTATTGCTGCCTTCCTCCCCTTCACCATTTATTGAACAGATTTTAAGCCATGAGCGCAGGAATGACAAAAGACAGGCCCATAAAGCTATGCTGCGTGTAAAACCTGGGTCACCTCCCTGCCATTTCAGTGCTTCTCCCGAGTCCCCCCAGACGCTTCTATTTATGGTGGTTTATTGAGGTTTGCTACAACTAAAATTCTACTACCTTTCTACCACTTTTTTGAGTTTATGGATGTCATATATCGCTCATTGCTTTACTCCCATTGATTCAGCTGAGTTTCTTAAACCCAGGGTCCAGATATAGTGCTACATACAGTGAGCATTAGAAGGGAATAAGCCATTATGAGTGAATGCGTAAAAAAATTTTTTATGACACTTTGGCCTTCTGCCTTTTTGTTTCATTCTCTCTGCTTATTGGTCTCATTGGAATAAATCTTAGGGACTTACAGAAAACAAGCAAGCAGATAATTTCCATATTTACCATATTTAGTTTTTTTTATTTTATTGCATTTTAGGTTTTGGGGTACATGTGCAGAATATGCAAGATAGTTGCATACGTACACACATGGCAGTGTGTTTTGCTGCCTTCCTCCCCTTCACCCACATTTGGCATTTCTCTCCAGGCTATCCCTACCCAGCTCCCCCCCCCGACTGTCCCTCCCCTCTTCTCCCCAATAGACCCCAGTGTTTGGTACTCCCTTTCCTGTGTCAAAAAATTAAGAACAATACATATTACAAAGAGCAACCAAAAACTATACTGAAATAGTATGTGCAATGGAAATCCAAGGCAGAGGAAAAAAAAATCCAGAGTAAGAACAACAACAAAAAATCAAATGCATATATACTGAAAATGGGAAATTGTGCAGTATATATTCGAGATTAAAAGTATTAACCTAATGTCAAAAAGCAATGAAGGAACTGATTTCTAGAAGTCAGGATCAACAGAAGAGGAAAAAGCCTCTGCACTTTTGCCCTGGAATTCCTTCTGCCATGAATGCTCTTGCCCCCCACTTGTTTATTTGGAAAACTACTCATTATTTTTGACTCAATTTCGATAGTACCTCCTCTGTGAAGCCTTCTCTGTCTTTCCCAGATAAGTTTGTACTATTTTTTTCCCTGGGTCCAGTGTGCCCAGTGGATCTCATACAGGCCTGAAAAGTACCACTTATTCTGGATAATAATTTCTCTTTCTGCATGTCTTTGTCCTCTAATGAATAAGTAGCTTCTTGAGAGCAGAAAGCTTGTATTTTTCATGCTTGTTCTCCACGCACACAGAGCCTAACATGTCTATATATTTAATAAATATTTGGGCTGGGCGCAGTGGCTCAAGCCTCTAATCCCAGCACTTTGGGAGGCCGAGGCAGGTGGATCACGAGGTCAAAAGATCGAGACCTTCCTGGTCAACATGGTGAAACCTCGTCTCTACTAAAAATACAAAAAAATTAGCTGGACATGGTGGCGCGTGCCTGTAATCCCAGCTACTCAGGAAGCTGAGGCAGGAGAATTGCCTGAACCCAGGAGGCGGAGGTTGCGGTGAGCCGAGATCACGCCATTGCACTCCAGCCTGGGTAAGAAGAGCGAAACTCCGTCTCAAAAACATAAAATAAAATAAAATAAATATTTGTTGAAAATTTCTAGAACCAGTGAATAAACAAAAGGACATCCACAGTGTGAATGTAGCATAAAGAGGAAAAACTAAATAAAATGAGAATCTAGATTTAGTCTGGCTGAAATTCATTTATTCACTAAACATTAATGAGTGCCTACTGTATGCCAGGCACTGTACTAAGCTCTGGGTGTAAAATTATAAACAAAGCCCAGATACAGTCCATGTCCTTATGCCCTCATGTTTACAGAACAAATGGGAGTTGGCCATGCAGGTGGGAAAATGAAAAAAATTTTTAGGCAGAAAGAACAGCATGATCCAATGTCCTGTAACAGGAAAATCTTAACTGTAGCAATTAGAGTTAATGAGCTCAGTAAAGGTAAGCTGAAGTCAACACAAAGTATCCAGAAAACTGAAGAGGTTGATTGATAGACAACACCTGTTTGAGTCAGTAAAACAAGCAAGTCTCCTTAAAGATAGTAACCAACATTTTATAAAATGTGCACTATATGCTAAACACTGGACTAAGTGTTTTATAATAAACATTTAAGGTATATCATTATTTGTACTTTAAGGGTGAGGTAACTGAGGCACAGAGAGGTTAAGCAATTTCACCAGAATCACATGGCAGTTAAATTTCAGAGCTGAGATTCAAGCCTAGGAAATCTGGCTCCAGACTCTAGGGAGTCTGGATATTTTACTTTCAATAAAATATAAATTTTACTTGTAATAAAATAAAAGGCAGATATTTTACTGTTTCGTGTGTGTGTGTGTGTGTGTGTGTGTGTGTGTGGTGTGTGTGTGTATCAGGTCACACGGTGTATGGCACAGACTGGAACTTCTTAATATTTTTGGAATGAATGATTAGCTGAATAAAAACAATAGGTACCAATGTGCCAGAAAATAAAATAGAAAACAGTAGTATCTGGGTCCTTTTATGTTCCAGCCTTACCAGCTGCTCACAGAACATACCAAACTTGTTCCTGTTCTATTTCCAAAATATAATCTGCTCATGTATTTGTCCCTGACTGTACTGCTAACATTCAGGATCAGAGTTCGGCAATTTATTTTTTTTTTTCTGTGAAGGGTCAGCTAGTAAATATTTTAGGCTTTTTGAGTCACAAAGAGTCTCTGTTTCCAAGTATTAAATTCTGCCTAAATAGAGTGAAAGAAGTCGCAGACAATACACAAATGAATGAGTATGTAAGTATGTTCCAATAAAAGTTTATTTACAAAAACACGCAAGAGGCAGGATTTGCCCTGTGGGCAATAATTTTTAGACCTTTTCTCTAGGCCTAATTATTGCCATCTCTTGCACGGACTACTGTATTAAATGATGTCTGAGAGCCATCATCTTTGACTAATATTTACACCTTGTTTTGTTTGTTTGTTTGTTTGTTTTTTGAGACGGAGTTTCGCTCTTGTTGCCCAGGCTGGAGCGCAATGGCGCGATCTCGGCTCACCGCAACCTCCGCCTCCTGGGTTCAGGCAATTCTCCTGCCTCAGCCTCCCGAGTAGCTGGGACTACAGGCATGCGCCATCATGCCCAGCTAATTTTTTGTATTTTTAGTAGAGACGGGGTTTCACCATGTTGACCAGGATGATCTCGATCTCTTGACCTCGTGATCCACCCGCCTCGGCCTCCCAAAGTGCTGGGATTACAGGCGTGAGCCACCGCGCCCGGCCCGTTTTTTTTTTTTTTAATTTTTAATTTTTAATTTTTTTTCTTTTACAGCTTGGTTTTATCAGCATCTTAATGAAGCTTTAGTGCTCTCTAATCATATTTATAACCTTGAGTTCTTGAAATGTGGTTTTAAACTGTGTGTTAATTGTGATTTTGAACTTTGATTTGTCAAAGATGGTCTTTAAAAGAACTAACTACTAGTGATCTTTGAAGGAGTTTAAAGAAATAAAGAAGGAAAATTTATAATTAAAGTAGTGACTTTTAGCCAGAAAATAAATATTCTGGACACAGCGCAATGTTGAATTTGGCTGAAGCTTTCGTCTATGACAAGAATTCTGCTATGTACTCTACAGAGAAACAATTAAATGCTAAAACTTTTCAGAAATCGGCTAGACCATGTAAAATTTTCTCACCTACTCATGGACAAAAATTTGGTAAAGCTGAAGGGTATATTCATTTGTATCTGGGCATGTGAACATTTCTGACTCTGGGGATATGAATGTTTCTGACTCTCAACAGAAATGTCATTCCGCATAAACTTAGTAACCTATACAATTAATTGTGCGGTGAATAAGTATTAGTTAGGACTCATTTGTTAAAAGTTACCAAAACCTACCTGAAACTAACAAGCAAGAGAGAGAAATGTAAGGGAAGATAATAAGGTGTTTCTCCCCAGGCTATCCCTCCCCAGCGCCCCCCTGCCGCTGTTCCTCCCCTATTCCCCCCAATAGACCCTAGTGTGTAGTGCTCCCCTCCCTGTGTCCATGTGTTCTCATTGTTCATCACCCGCCTATGAGTAAGAACATGCGGTATTTCATTTTCTGTTCTTGTGTCAGTTTGCTGAGAATGATGTTCTCCAGATTCATCCATGTCCCTACAAAGGACACGAACTCATCCTTTTTGATTGCTGCATAATATTCCATGGTGTATATGTGCCACATTTTCCCTGTCCAGTCTATCATCGATGGGCATTTGG